ACTCGCTTTATGAAACGAGGCCCAGGTCACTTCAAGTGGCCTCACCACATAACAAGTTTCAACGTGTGCCATAGCTACACCGATTGACTGGTCACTTTGAAACTTTCAGCGATTGATATGAGTAACAGTATGTACATTGTACAATATGTATATCTTGGAATTTTGATATCGGTGACCTAAGGTCAGGTCAATTTTGCGACCTTGCCATTATAAGTCAACGAGAGAAAATTGATAGGCGCCTTTTTCGGAAAAAAGTCATTATAAACACTCTCACTCATTATAAACACAACAGTGACTTACAAGAAAGTTTGATATATATGTATTGAACATGACTATAAGCATCCGTGACCCCTGTTTATGTCCCTGAGGTCATCTCATGTCACGAATGGTATCTTACAGTCTTCGCGAATAACTTTTGATAGAGGCATGCTAGAGCAATGAAAACGCCTTAGATGTGTTCAGCTCGACGATACGGATCGACTGATACGAAAATGACCCTTTCCGGTCAGGTCATGCCCTTGAACTGAGGTCGTGCAAGACTTAAGTCAAAGGCTATTGCAGAAAAACTTTCCGCAAAAATCATGTATTTTGGCAGTTTTTGCCCCTGCAGGCAAAACTTAAGGTGGACTTAAGGTGAAATCTGAGTGAATTACTCAGAAGAGCGTTAATAGGGCTATCAAATGCGATTTTCTGCGGCGCTGTAGCTTCGATTCCCGAGTTATGCGTAGACTTCTTGAAAGTTTTCGACATTCGACCTAAAAATCGGCGAAATTCTGCCTTCAATGACCTGTGACCTGACCAAAAAAGTGACCGAAGTAATTTCGTCATTATTTTTTACGCTCTTTCGAGCGCCGCCTTCTGTGTATCGCTACGTGGCCCAGGAGCCGAGTAGGGTGCTCGGGGGTGCTCACCCCCCCCCCCAGCTTGGCATATTCAGAATCCCCGGCGCTAGAAACACTTAATTTGAGATCACTACACATACGCCAGCTTTTGCCGTTGACTTGACCTCTAGCCTTGAAAATCCACCTGAGGAATTTAGGTGTTTTCGAATCGTTTCCTAAAGCCTTTCCTTTAACCCGCGCACCGACGGGGGTTTGCGCCAACTTCGCACCGACGGGGGGGGGGCGGATGACCGCCCCCCCCCCCCCCGAGATCTTGAGAACGAAGCAAGATAGCGACAAGCGGTAAACGGCATCGGATACGCACGGTCAAGATCTACAATTTTTACAAAGGTCATTTTCAGGTCAGGTCAAAGATGACGTCACAGGGGTCGAAAAAGTCAAAATGGCGGCGCTAGATATGGAGAGAGTTTTTCTCGAATAACTTTCGAATTAGTCAAGATAGGAGCAAACTAAGGGCATCATCGTGATCCTCTCGTCAATCCGCATCGAATGATATATATTTTGACCTCGAAAGGTCAAGGTCAAAGGTTGACTTCAGGTCACGTGACCTCGAGGTCATCATGTACAGGGTGATCCAAAAAATTTGGAACCCCTAACTTAAAATGTCTGTAAGTCCGAAAGTATTCACTTTATTGACAAATTGCGAACACCATTAGAAAGAGCATTATATCTTCCATAAAATCACGTCAAATTGGTGCATGTATGTTGTACAGCATTGGCACACTATTAGCTTTTGGAATGAGCGTCAGAAAACTGAGTGAAACGAAATTGCCAAATGTTTACAATGCGCTGAAATCCGTTAGCATTCTATCTGTTGTCTTTTTGCGAATAATACCACATCCAAATTCAATTTTATTTCATTAAATTTTACACAGAAGCACATAGTAGAACAGATAGGTACACGCGTCCTAGCTTCCGCTGTTCATCACAGCATGTGCTCAACGCGAGCTCCATGGGCCGTCACGCAGGCCTGCAGTTGCTCGGGGACAGCTCCGACTGCGCGGGCCAGCAGTCTCTGGGACAACTGGTCCCAGCAGGCTGTCAGCCTTTCCTTTCCTTACAATAGCACGTGAATGAGCTATTTTTATTCATGAACCTCCAACAAGCCACATGGTTTTCAGAACAGCAAACCGTCAATCACTGATTTGCGCATAATGTTCAAAACCGTTTCACTGAGTTTCGTGACACAAATTTTATAGGATAATTTTATAATAATATAATTTAATAATAATAAATTTTATAATTTTATAGGGCACTATTTATAATAATAAGTAAGTACAATCAACTTGGTTTTATAGAAAATTGAACGCTCTTTCTAATGGTGTTTGCAATTTATCAATAAATTGAAAATTTTCTGACTTACAGACATTTTAAGTTAGGGGTTCCAATTTTTTTGGATCACTCTGTATATCATTCGATGCGTCTTGACGAGCTGAACACAATGAGACCATCCACGCGTCTGTATCTTGTTCCTTACGGAGTTATTGGCCAAAAACCTTTGGTGACCTTTGATGACGTCACATGACCTCACAGCTGCCGAACAGCAAAACAGACCTCAAGGTAGTGAAGGTTGATCGTATATGAAGTCATGTATGGTATATGGGGCCATTCCGACCCGTTTTAGTGGTAAAAACAGGGAGTTGATTTTTCACCCATTGACTTATAATGGGGAGGTCGCGAAATTGACCTGACCTAAGGTCACCGATATCAAAATTCCGAGATAAACAAATTGTAGCTACTAATGACCTAATAACATCCTGCGACTTTCAAAGGCCTCCGACATCTACTGTAGCTCTGGCACGGTGACAAAGTTGCAAAAAAGTGACTTGAGGTTGGGTCATTCAAAGTGACCTGGTGACCTGACCTTTAAAGGTAGGAGGTTCAAACTTGCACACCATGTGTAAAATTGATAAGGGAATAGTCGTACCAAATTTCGTAGCGCCGCAGTTTTCCCGCTATTTGCGAAAACCCTCAGGGGGGGGCGGATATCCGCCCCCCCCCCCCGTTGGTGCGCGTGTTAAAGTGCCGAAGTTTTTTCCATAGCTCCCTTATTTATGGAGTTAGACAGGGGGCGAAAAACGCCCCTTTCCCGCGCTGAGGTGGTTGGGATTACTACCCCCCCCCCCCTCCCAGTCCGGGCTCGGCCGGTTAAATGCCGTCCTGTGAGAGTGCGAGTAAAGCTTTTAACGACTATTACAAACAGTCATAAGTGCATACCATAAAGGTAAGTATGAACTTCGATTTTCTGGCAGTATGCCATAGTTGCAAATGGATGTGCTTGCCATAAGGGTGCATCTTTCTTTTAGCAGTGCGGCCAATTACTTAAAATTGTAGGGTTTTCCAGATACTTTTTCTTGTCAATCTAATCAAGATATTTTAGGTAGGTTTGGTCGGTAATGCGTAAGATAAAGGGCAATAAAAGTTTCGAAATATTTGTTTTGAATGATGTAGGGCTGCTTTTGAGGCATGGCATATTCCATAGTGCATAGACCACTACTAGTGTATCGTGGTACAGTGGTATGCATAGATAAACGTTTGAGGTGGTCTACGCATAGTGTTTGACTTTCACGATTGATGACTGGCTGTTGGTAACAGAAGGACCACTTCTCCTAACGTTGAAAATCGCCCATACCTACAACTTTGATAAACATCAGGCAATGAAGGTCATGTCTATTCGATTTTTTATAGCCTCCATCGAGAAAACTAAAACACCAACCAGTAACCTTCTATGTTATATCCAACACATTTGTCACAACATCTTTCTTGCATTTTACAATTCATTTCTATGGAAATTCTAAGAAAAAATTCGCATCAACTGTATGCCTAACACTGAAACGTATTTTTTGTTTGAACACTAGCGTGTTAAGTTTAACCCGCGCCCTGATGGGGGGGGCATTTTGGCCCCCCCCCCTGTGGTTTTTCTTAAATAGCGAAAAAACCGCGGCGCGCAGCGCCGCCAAATTTTGGGTACCTTACCGGACATCAATTTGACACCTTCACACAAAATTTCAAGTCACAGGTCACCTCAGGTCAGGAGTTATTGAGGTCAAACTGAGGTCATGTTCGAGTAAAAATGAGCAAAAAACATGACATCTTGAAACGCTCACCAATTCTACAGTTAACAAGCAATTTTAAAGTTCTTTATGTGGTTGTGTAGAGAAAAGACGGCGCTACAAAACTGCTATCTCGGATTTTCGAAATTTTTGGATTTTGACCCCCAAAAATAAAAAAATGATTTTTTTAGAAAAAACTCAATTTCGAAAAATTTCGAAAAAACCGGAATATATGTGATAGTCCCTGCGCTCTTCGATGTACATACCAAATTTTAGATCGATACATCTTTTTTTGGCCAAGTTATAGCGAAAAAACTGTTAAAAATTGATGACGTCAAATTTTTGAACTCAATTTTTAGCAATTCTAGACCTCGTAGCGCAAAACGGAGACCACCATTGAACTCCCCGTGACGAGCTGCATCGAATCGATACCCATTTTATGCAAAAATATCAACTTTGAAATTTGACCTAATTTGACCTGACCTTGACCTGACCTTGACCTGACCTTGACCAAAACGTGACCTAAGCTGGCCCTAAAGTCTGTCTGACCCACATAATCGCATTTGTCATGTAAAATGGACCATAAAACATGTATCACACGACACTTTCATATTGTGACCCCCCAGTGACCTGACCTCTGTGACCTGACCTGGTATCAGTGACCTCAAATAGCAAAATATGTGTTTGAAGAACATTTCCCCATCGATGATTTTCAATGAAATGCATTTTACACGATTTTACAACGCATTTCTTGAAATGCCTGTAAACGGTGAAAATTCGACCTTTGACCTGACCTGTGACGTCATCGGTTTGACCGAGGTCAATGAAATTGGGTCACAAGGTAGTTCCCCGTTGGGGCTATCCAACACCGTTTACCGCTTGTCGCTATGTTGCGTGGTTCTCGAGATCTGAGGGGGGGGGCCAAAATGGCCCCCCCCCCATCAGACCGCGTTGCTCGGCAGACCCCATCTGGGCGCGGGTTAAAAGAAAAACTGCGATAGACCTTCGTAGACAGCAGAGCTAAGACAAAATGTGCTATTGATTTTCAAATAAGTTAAGTTGGAACGAGAAACAATGCCTTTTTTACCGACACCTTCTTATATGCTAATACTTTACTGGAGGGATTTAAATAGATATGGTAGTTTAGTAGTCGTATAATTATATTAGTCGTAGCCCTTAGTAAGCGTTATAGCCCGCGCCCGCTTGGGCCTCTCAGCCAACTTCGGCTGGTGGTGGGGGGGGGGGGCCTTTTTGGCCACACCAGATTATCTCAGAAAGTAAGCAAACTAGGAGGACGCGGTAAAATACAATAGATAGCTCGCTTTTAGATCTTTCAGAATCATTTAGGTTATTTTTTTATCATGTCCCCGCTAAGGTCATTGGAGTTGTATTACGCCGATTTTACCGGCATCGCGTTTGTCGTCGAATGAACTATAAGTTGACCTGAAAAGGTCAACTTAAAAACTTGACCTCAGGTCAAGGTTACGGAAAAGGTCATGTTGCATGCCATTCGATTTGTATTGTTGAGCTGAACACAGTCATGGTGTTTTCAGCGCTCTAGCGTGTTTCAACTTAAGTTGTTGTCAAAAAACTGTTTGAACCGTTTCATGACCTGATGTGACCTCAAGGGCACAAAAGGGGTCACAGGTGCAATCTTCCGGTTCAGTGTGTCATATTCACCTGTGTCCCGATGTTTGGAGTGTTTTCGGCCAATTGAAGATAATTTTAATTTTGATCCATTGAATTAAAATGGAGAAGTCACAAAATTGACCTGACCTTATGTCACCGACATCCAAATTCCGAGATACACAATAAGGTTGGTACTGATTCCTTTCGCAATAGCTTGAGTTTCAAACTTCCGGGATGTATTCTGTAGGAATGACTGATTCACAATTTTTTAGATGCATGGTCACTCAATTTGACCTGATGACCTGACCTTATGTGACCTTGGGTAAAAAAATACACGTAATGCGATATTGATGTATGATAAGTTATACCAAATATTGCAGCGCTGCGCGCCGCGGTTTTCTTTACAGTCGCAATAAGCTGGCAGGTGTGGCAAAAAAAAAAAACGCCTCCCCACTCGGGCGAAGGATAGTGCAGACATTATAAGAGTATATTTTGCGTGGCTCGACGATATCCTGTCACAATTGTACTTACTATAAAGGCGTCAGTCACCAGATGCCGGAGTGATCAGATGAACCTAGCCTAACATGACGGTGTCCAGCTGTATATAAAGACGAACACTGCCCAGTCGGATTATATAGCTCCTCTAAATTCTAATTGAAGAGCAATTTCACAGCCAACTGTAAACAGAATCACATACAAACGTGTCTCATTACGGCTTGTGTCGAAAGTTTGCATCTCACGTATAGCTTATAGCATCACCGAAACGTCGGAAGATGTAACAAAGTTATGCTGCTACTTGCAAAAGTTTTCACAGCGCGTCCGTTAAGTTTTAGGTAAACCAATGATTATGACATGATATTACTGCTTTTTCTGATAATCAGACACAGTTGTGTAACTTGTCAAGGAAGTAGGTAGGCATAACATGTTTTCACTGAACGTATAAGCTAACTATGATTTATATCACCAGGAATGACAGGGTAGAATTTGTGAACGACACATGCAAGGCACAACATGAGAGCTGTCTAAGTTTCAGAACATGCAAATGAGCACTTGAACAACTCTAACACAAAACAAAAATATAAAGATACTGCTACACATAGCGATTGTGATTTGGTAACGCGTGATTTGATGATTGATTTAGGTACTCGTTTCCTTTCTGTATGCTCCCATCAAACACACTTCCTTCCCCCTCTCTCTCCCTCTCTCTCTCTCTCTCTCTCTCTCTCTCTCTCTCTCTCTCTCTCTCTCTCTCTCTCTCTCTCTCTCATCCCGACTCCTTTTCTCAACCTCCTTTTCTCCCCCTTTTCCCACCAATTGACTAACCTTACTCCAGCAACACTACTAGCCCAAAGACCCTCACCACCTCCCATCAAGCTCAGAATCCAACTGACAAAGTCAGTCAATCGCCCCTACACTAAAGCAGCATCGTTCATTGGTTGCACATCAACACAGCGGCTCGTACTAAACAATGATGGAATTGCAGTGAACAGAGTGGCGCAAAGTGAGTGCTATAACTGCAATGATAAACATTCGACTAATTGACTGAAAGGTAGTGGTGAGGCTCTATGAAAACGCATAAAATATTCACGTGTGTTTCTGGAACAAGTTTTGATATATAGGCCTTAGAAAAGACTCAGTGATGAGTTCTACGGTAGATAGGACCAGTAGAAAAATGGCGAGAAGAAGCATTATTCTACCGCTAATCGCTTTCGCTATTGACATAACCTTAAGCCGGCGGCCGCTGGGGGGGGGGGGGGGGGCAACTAACTGGTTGTCCACTTTTACTTCTCCGATGATATCGTCGCAATGCGCAAAGATACATAAGCGACACTTTGCACACATATTCCTGAATAGCTAGTTGAAATCGTGTCCAAATTAAATGTCGATTTCATTTGCTATGACGTCATAGTGCCGTCAGAAGAGCATGCGGGCGCCAAGTGTGTATCCGGGATGCATGAACGTTTACGCTTCGGATTTAAATAAACAATAGCCGTTTTCACGACGGCCATCATGGTAACACATTTGGTGCACATCTGGTACAGATTAGATGCAGATTTGGTCAAATCAGGTTCAGTGTGTCTCTTAGCAGCTATCAGCTAGGGTTGCACTAATTGCTTATATGCCTGCTTTGTCATATTGTCAGAGAGCATCATCGATTAAAACACTGAAGTAAATTCATAAAATGAAGATATTTGCTGTAAAAGAAATTAGGTGCAGATTTGGTCAAATCAGGTGCATTCGCCGGAGAGCCCGTCGTGAAAACGGCTATGTAAACCCTATAACGCGTCTTTAGTATGACACAAGGTTTAACGGGTAAATTGGCATAATGGCATGGAGCCTATGCCAGTGTATCGTGACGGTGGGGGAGGGGAGGAGGGCAGGTCTTTGATCTGTCGGTGAGCAGTTGGGCCGGGGATGCGCTGCAGCTCGCTGCTGGGAGAAGTTTAAGTAGTTGGCCGGTGCTTCCCTCTCCAGTCTCGAGATGCGCTCAGAAGAGGCTGTTCAGTGCTCACGGTGTATGCGTCATCGATTGGAGGACGGCGGACGGCGGCCGGCCGGAGGACGGCGGCGGACCGGAGCCGGCCTTTTGTTGCCAGGCGCCGCCGCGCCGGCTCTCAGGGGGCAGACAGGAACGGAGCGCGGGCCGCACAGTGGCCGCCGTGCCAGGCATCATATAGTCTCCTTCGGGGCAGCGGTGCGAGTCCACTTGCGGCGGTACACGGGTCAGAATATCGCCACGGCGCTCCATGACGCGTGACGAGGGAAGGAAAAAATGGCCCTCGTCAGGAATCATCAAGTCGTTCAGAGATAAAAAGTCATCCAGTGATCGTTAACAGAACAGGCGAAGATCCATTTTCTACTCGAAAACATCAAAGGAACTATACCTAGTACCTACCACTTCTAACATGGGGTTTTGAACTGAAATAGCTATTTTGCAGCTTGAGCTGAGACTAACACAAACCAAGAGCTATTATCGGCCCTACGATCACCCTAGGCATAGAAATTCCATTTCTCGTTCCGAAATCCGAATTTTTCTAGACGCCTGCACAGCAGACTTCGGTGTCACAGGCGCAGACGTCAAACGTCACCGTGCTAGCTGCCAAAAATAGAGTCACACGAGTTTTAGAGATAAAGACAAATAACGAGTACGGGAGTGTGGCGTTTGACCTTGAAAAACTAGTAGAAAAATAGTTTTGGTGACCTGAAGTCAGGGGTCAGGTCAACGACCCGGAGCTGGGGTTAGTTTTTCGTAATTAGCTTGAGCAAAAAATGATCCTAGATAGTAGAGCTACGGCAGTGGGCCCACTGCGTTCGTCTTGTCAAGCCGCGTCGAATGACATATGTACATAGATGTTGTTTGGAAAAGGTCACAAGTTTTATGTTAATCTCATGTGACCTCGTATGACCTTTCGTTGACCTTGACACATGAAAACTCTTATATGATGGATTCATAGCCGCTGATCACGAATCTGGCAGCCAGTTTGCTCTAAGCGTTTATTTAGAGCCTCAGGATGGCAAAACTTTCCTTATTATTATGACCGACTTGAATCAGTGAAATAGACTCCAGCAAGAATACTCTTCCGTGGCCATAGGCGGCGGAACGGGGTGGGCACCGGGGCACCGTGCCCCCTTTGATTTTGGCATTTTTACATTAGCCCTATGGGCGTTGCATGGAAAGAATGGGACCAAAAGTCGGTAGTGCCCCCCCCCCCCCCGCCTTAATTGAAGGTGTTCCGCAGCTACTGTCCGTGGCCTTGGACTTGGAGCATCCTTGTATCGTAAGATGGACCACAATTAGGGACCTGATGAGCCTAAAAACATTTTAAAACATCTTGGAGTTTGGTACACAAGATACAAGAGAAATGCAAATTTTGAGCTCAATTGGAAATGATTGCGGGAATTGAGGTGGACATGATATTTCTAATTGTGATTTACAACATTTATCTATGTTTTTTGTTTGTTTGATAGCAATGTTTATCAAAATAAATGCTGCGGCGCCATAAATCGTCAGCTGTTACAGCCCTCAAACAGGTGATTTCCTCGCATAAATTATCCCACGGCTGCTATAAAACGGCCCTCCTCGCAGCTAATCCAACCTTCTACGAGATTTTTTTATCAACCACTGAAACAGACCCCATATGTAACAGACCAAAAACATACCGATCCGGTATATCCGAGTGACCCGGCGTGCCGCGGAGATCCTGTTCGTGTGATGCACGCGCCGCGGCTCTGTTTTCGCCCGCAGGGCGGCGCACAGTGGCTCTCATTGGTCCCAATTTCCGCTATTCCCGGCGGCCCGCGGCAGATTGACGCCCCGGCAGCGCGTCCGACGCCGCGCTGTCTCCCCTTGATCCGATCTCCGACGGCAGCCACAGAGGAATCGCGCGAATCGAGCGAAAACAATTTGACGGATCAGAGCCGGCTTTGCGCCTGTGTCTCACGCTGTGTGTGTGTTTGGCTGTGTTGAGGCCGCTGGCCCACCAAATGACAGCTAGACTAGAGTTATCGGTCTCCGGTGCAAGCTGTTTAGAAATTGCAGTTTGGTTTCAGCTGGAAGCTATTTGGTTGCCGGCTCCGGCTTGGCTGATCTATAGCCTGATGGCTAGGAAGCAATCATACATAGATGTTACAGTGCTTTATATTTCAAACCTACAGCGGCTATATTTTCAGTGCAATGCATTGGCGCCCATTCGCTGTGCCAGTGTTATTTATCAAAGGAAATGTTTCCCAGCCCGAGAACTTTCTTAGAACCTGTAAGTATTCCTCCAGCTATTGATGTGTATGCCCTATCATATGACATGCACTGCTTCGTGCTCTTATTTTAGGAGCTTTGTACATTGTAGAATGTACATTTTTTTTTTTTTTTTTTTTTTTTTTTTTTTCTACACCGCCACCCATTATCAGGTGACCAGGAGTGCCCCCTCCCTCTATCCCAACGACACACAGAACCTTACGTTAACACCACCAGGAAAATAATGAAGACAATTGTCGCGGCACTCCCAGCTAGGAAATGAAACAAACTCAAGGAAGCAAAAAACGAGACACATTATCATGCTGTTAGTATAAAGGTGTAAGAGAAGGCATAGTAGTCATAACTGAAAACAGTTAGTGACTAGTTTCTAATTCCCAGGAGTACACATTCGTTCATACATCCACACAGGAGCAGTGTTAGAAGGATTCAGATGAAGGGAATCATGCATTCAGGGGTATTATATACAAATCTGCTGGTCAGTGTTCAAGCTGGGTCATTTACTGAATCTCCGTTGTTTTGCCCAGCTAAGCGAGGCTTGTTGCTGGGCAACCAACGGAGATCAGTTTCATGAGAATGAGTGGTTATGTAGAGTATGCGAGGGAAATGAAATGAAATGAAATGAAAACAAAAAAAAAATATACTAGTAATAATAATAATAATAACAATAAAAATAATAATAATAATAATAATAATAATAATAGTAATAATAATAATAATAATAATAATAATAATAATAATAATAATAATAATGAATAAGAGTAAAAAATAATAAAAATAATAATAAAAATAATAATAGATAAAAACAATGGTGAAGAAAAATAAACCATGGGGTAAGAGTAAAGATATCATGATAGTGCACCATGTGATTTATAGTTTTCGTAATGTTACGAACCTCCACAATATACTTAATGTGAGAGTATTGTATTACATAATCAATACTGGCTCAAAAAGTAGTTTTTTGTTAGTCTTTTTATTGTGTGTTTTGAATGAGGCACCAGAGGCACAGCAGGGTAAACGGGGACCATTATCTGATTCCACAGCCTTGGACCAGCCCATGAGATTGTGTGTGTTTTATATAATTTGTACGAAAATATTTCTTTGAAGTGTTTGTTATAACGACTGTTTCTATTTTGTTCTACTCTCTCAAATAATTCATCAATCGAAAGTGGTAAGATTCCTTGAATCTTTTTATGTAGTAGTAACAACATCTGTTGTCGCCCGATGTCCTGGATACGAAGAAGTTTAAATTTTTTGAAGATTGGTGCAGTGTGCGCTAATCTACATTGGCCGTCTATTAATCTAACGACACGCTTCTGTATTTTGTCTAATTCACCTAGGTTTGTTATGTACGTATTACTGTAGATAAAGCAGCAATAATTAACGTGAGACAGAAAGAGTGAGTTGTAGAGTAATAACAAATGTTTACTGTCCAGGAAAAATTTCAATTTAAACATAATACCTACATTTCTCGACAGTACTTTCTGGAGTTTGGAGATATGAGTTCTCCACTTCATATCCTCATCTATGAAAATACCAAGATATTTAACAGTATTAGTACGTTGTAATATCACACCATTCAGTTCGATTCGCAATTCAAGTTGTCGTTTCTTGTTCGTGTATATCTGATAATATGTTTTATCAGCATTGAGAGACAGTTGGTTAGAAGTAAACCATTCAGCTACCTTTGGCATCAAGGTATTTAATCTTGTTTGTAAAATATGCTCACTTTCCCCTTCTATTAAAATAGCAGTGTCATCAGCATATAAGAGTGTACTTATGTGTTCACCACATATCAAAGGGAGATCATTTATATAAAGTATAAACAGAAGTGGTCCCAAAATTGATCCCTGAGGGACTCCAATATCAATTGGAAGGAAGGATGAACGCATGCCATTTATTTCCACACACTGGGTACGGTCACTGAGATATGAGTGAAACATCATATGGGCATCTTCAGAAATACCGTACTGAAGTAATTTTCTAAGAAGAATTTCCTTGTCAACAGTATCAAATGCTTTACGTAAATCGAGATAAATGCCGCACATGTTCGAATCACTTTCAAACGCACTTATGATTTTGTCTTGTAATAACACTATAGGCATGTATGTACTCATGCCAGATCTAAAGCCAAACTGTTTGTCACTGATAATTTGGTTCAAGAATAAGTGTTGGCTTAAACGAGCATATATTATCTTTTCTAATAGCTTAGAAATAACTGGAAGTAACGATATTGGTCTATAGTTACTAAAAATATGTTTGTCGCCGGCTTTATAAATTGGTTTTATAACTGCTTGTTTTAATAATGTTGGAAAGACACTATTCTCAAGACACAGATTTAAAAAATGTACAATTTGTACCATTATAGCACTGAATGTTGATTTAAATATTTTGGTATTTATTTTATCATGACCACCTCCCACATTTCGCATATCATGAACAATCTTCTTTACTTCTTCCTCATCTGTTCTACACAATTCACGTAGCGGAGTTCCTACAAAGTTAGGAAGATAATCTATCGGATCTTTATAGGAATGGTTAATGTTATTTTTAAGCTTCCTTCCAACGCTGGTAAAGTAGGAGTTGAAGCTTTCGGCAATGTTTTTAGGGCCTTCCACCAGGCCACTATCGGTTTTAAATGCTTCTGGCAATCTGGTGTTATCCGGGGCACCTGATGTGAGTTCTTTAATGATGCCCCAAGTCTTTTTGGGATCCGAAGTTTTTAGGTTATTTTGTATGTATGCTTTCTTTGCCTCACGTATAATACCTACAAGCACGTTACGGTATTTGCGATATTTAGTGATGTTTTCGTAAGAAGGTGTTTTATTTTTTACCAAAAACAGAACATTTTTTCTCACTATAGATGTTAGAATTCCTGGAGTAATCCAAGGTTTTTTGGAAGTATTTTTTCGTGATGGCACGAAGGTCTTGCTGAATTTCCGTATTCCAACAGCGTAGGACTCAATAATCCTCTCACATGCTATATTAGGGTCCGTTACATGTAAAAGGTCATGTAAGTCATTCTGCAAATGATTTTGCAGATCAGCCACCTTATTATAGTTAAAAACTGTAATGGCATTCATCATCCTATCATTGCTAGGTTTCGCTGTTTTAATGGTTATGAATACTGGAAAGTGATCTGACAAATCATTATATATGATTCCTGGACCACTTGTAATTGATATATTGTTGCAATATATATTGTCTATAAGCGATGCTCTAGTCTCACATTCTCTGGTTGGTAGAGAAATTAGGGGAAGAAAACCAAAGGACAACAGCATATTAAAAAATACTTCAACGTCATGGTCGTTGTTGATATCATATAGGTCATAGTTAAAATCACCAGCGATGATTACTGGATGAGTAGGTGTAGTGATGGTTTCAAGAATAAGAGACATCTGTTCATTAAACTGAGCTGGGCAAATATCTGGAGGTCTGTAGAACTGTGCGATAGTTACTTTAGAAGAAGGTAAGCTGCACTGCACTACAACCGACTCAGTGCCAGTCGGAGACTCCATGACCAGGCGAGTGGTGGAGACGAAACCGTCTGTCCGTACGTATACGGCTGATCCACCGCCCACTCGTCCAACTCGATTTTCATAAAATGCAGTGTATCCTTCTATGTTACGGTGTTTATCAATTTCGTCGTTTAACCATGTTTCCGATATACATATAACGTCCCATTGTATATCCGTCATGTGCAGAAAGGTAAGAAGGGATTCATACTTTTCAGTACTTAAAAGTGACCGAACATTAATGTGTATAACATACAGCTTTTCTGGGTCTTTAGAGCCAGTAGGTACATCACTTGTGAGTACATAGTATTTGCAGCTTGTTCTTATTGATTCAAAATCATGATTGACAGTCTCGTCGTAATCAGTGTTTGTTTCATGAAATGGATGCAATATCTTATCATATAAACGTGGAAGCTCATTATAACTAACCGTAGTTAATGGCATATAACGCTGTGCAGTGTATACAACACAAGGAAATTGAGTAACTAGAACGAAACTCGGTCGAGCTAGCGTTTGGGATGAACCGATGTAAGGTGATGATATACTATTATATGTCAGTCAATGTAATATTCCGGGTCGATTGCATACAAATACGCAGTGTCCAGAGCGGATATGACGCAGAACCCAATTTTAAACTTAATTCAAGGCGGTCACAAGCCAAACCCAGCAGGCCAGCAGCAGGGGCCGCGGCAGAGACATACCCCGAGACCACCAGCCGACCACCGCCGGCCCCAGGCAGTCCAAGAGGCACCGTGGGACCAGCAACAGCCTGCCGCAGTCACGGAAACACCGCCGCCCAACCCCCAGCCCACGGCCGGGCTGCATATACGACAAAGCTGAAAGCACTGTATCCTCCATCCATATAGGTTGCTCAGATGAAGACTTGCTCGAACAGCATCTTAAATTCGACAGCTTCCTGATTTTATTAGACTTTGCCGAGTATCGCGAGATCGCACTTAGCTCATCGTATTGGGGCACTTCAACTTGATAGCGCAGCGACGTTATTTTCAGAGCCGGAGAATTAGTATTCATATGCCTCCTTTTCTTGGACGTTCCTGTTTAGTATTCGACAAGAGCACCTCGTATCTTTAACATGTCGCGATAGCAAGGACTATGCGACTTACTATCAACAGCTGATGCTACATAATTCATTGGAAGTTGGGACCCTTGAAGGCAGCCGTAGGCGGCAGGCGCCGATTACAGTAGCGGCGGAACACCTTCAATTAAGGGGGTAGGGGCACTGCCGAATTTTGGTCCCATTCATTCCGTGCAACGCCCATAGCGCTAATGTTAAAATGCCAAAATCAAAGGGGAGCACGGTGCCCCGGTGCCCTCCCCGTTCGGCCGCCTATGGCGCCGAAGCATGGAAGTCCGCATTCAAAACGTTAGCCATTGCTCTCCTAGCTTAAGGCAGTGTCAGTGTACTTCGGGTATTTTACAGACAATTGGAGCGCATAAAGCTTGCCAGTAATTGCTTCAAGTTCCTATATGTGCCAGAGAACAAGTTTAATAATTTTGCTAAATGAATATGGCAAAAATTTGGTAGGTACGATTACTGATGCTTGTTCTTAACTTCACACAAAACCAGATGACAGATATCATGCAGCGACAGAGTTGTTACTATACAAGTGTATGTTAGCCAGGGAGCTCAAGCATCCACCGGATCGTGCACCCATGCACATTACACACTGCACACGTCCCCCGCTCGGCTGTGACCCCACACGTTCACCCCTCGTCCCAAATAATACACATTCCTCCCAGTAGCTGTCCCGAGGCCGGGCCTGTCCCTCGCCGCACGCACAGCGGCTGTGTCGGGAGCGGTGCGTCCCTCTCAGTCACCGCGGGAGGGACAGGGAGGCCAGCCGCACGCCGTGACTACGCCCATACCAGAGTCAGCTTTTGTCCGTACGTCGCACTCGGTGTGTCAACAAGGCGGCAGGCTGCGTCGGACATCCGCACACACACGGCGGCCGAGCCGACGAACGTAGACACAGGCGCATGCTGCCTCCTCTCTTCGGTGCTTCTTGGAAGACAGTCACAGGATAGATTAATGCCTGAACTGCCTGCCATTATGAGCCTGGCGTAGCAAGTGTATTCTAACGAGCAGACCATGATTAAATTGCAGACTCTTGGGATGGATTAAATTGTATTTGAAGCACCATTACCTTGTAAATTTGCAGATGTTCAGTCCTTACACTAAAACATTCGAATTCCGATGGGTTAGGTACACCTCCGTTGTCTTGCTCGTATGGCGCCCGCCACAGCGTCTAGGAGCAGTAGGTGCTGTCGGCCGTGTTTTCGACGATCCAGTCCAGCACCCCAGTGACGCGCGCGAAGAACGCTGGCTGGTCAGCTATGGCGCAGCCGCCCTTGCCGAACGAGGTGATCCCGACGAGGACGAACCGGCCGTCGACCTCGGTCACCAGCGGGCCACCGCTGTCTCCAAAGCACGTGCCCTTACCCCCCGTCCCGCCGGCGCACAGCACCACCGAGCTGTTATAGGGGAGCTCCAGCAGGTGCATCATCGCCCCGCAATTTATGGGGTCCAGGATGTATAGATCGACTTCCATGAGAGCATCGGACACGGGTCCTTCAGTGGACAGTTTACCGAGTCCCGACGCAGTGGCCACGAGGTCTTCGTATGTCTCCCCGGGTGTCGGCAGACACACGGGGCTGACGTAGCTGCTGAACGGAATCTGACGATTCAGCTGCAGCAGTGCAAAGTCGTGGAAGATCCTGCTCTGCTCCCACAATGGGTGGACGAGAATGCGAGAGGCCTGAAAGCTCTCCTCACCGGAAGGCGGATTCCCGCGAACGTTGCCAAGCATCACCATCACGACGCTGGGGGTTCCCTGGACGCAGTGGGCCGCCGTCAGGACGTACCGGCTGCTGAGGACGGAACCGCCGCAGAGGAGGACCCGCTCCCCGTAGACGGGCCACACGCCCGCCTGCCAGGGGTACTCGCTCTCCTCCGTCTCCGTACCGCCGACGATGCGCGTGGTGCGGTTGACCTGTCCGCAGGTGCAGTTGCTCCCCGAGCCACCATCCGGCGAGGGATTGTCCTTAACGACGACGTCGCAGCTGAATCCTTTCCTGTTAAAGATGCTGTCAGATATAAACTGAAGATGGAGCGAATCAGCTGATGCTATCCTAACAGTGCTGTTATTTCCGCAAAAACGTTTGCCATTTATATCAAGCCAATCGTATAAGCAAAAGGGGCCGTTGTATCCCTCAACATCGAAGTCGGCACAATCGATGCCGATGATGTTGTCCTCGTCAACTGTGAAGCTCCAGGAAATGTTGGTGTTGTCCGAGTAGTTGGCGGGGTAGTTGGGTGACTGGAGGACATAGTTTCCAGGAACGAGTTTGGAGGTTTTCGACTCACCCACCAGATTTTCACAACGCCTGAACGAAGTGAACGTAGTGCGAGCTTTTGGCTTCGGAACAATGATGTTTTCTTGCGATGGGCAGGTATGTTTCGCGTCGTCGCTCAGCTCTTGCGCACCAGACGTGCCAGCCAGTTCAGGGCAGACATGTTTCTCAGCCGGTTGTTCTTGCTGGAGAGGTAGCAGTACGCTGGCAGCAGAGGACGGCAAGTCGGAGGCGATGCCGACGGTCAGACAGATGAACACCAGTAGCGCCATTGTAAGATGGTGTGTCTGAGACGATTACAGTCGTCTTATATAGCGGGCTGTGGCAGGACACAGCTGTTGTGGACGCCCGGTTCAGAGGCTGTGAGGATCGGGGAGCGTGTCAGGCGGGAGCACCGAGCGCAGAAGGAGTGGGGCGACGAAAACGTGACTTGTAACTGACTGTTTGAACTGCCGACTGACTCTCTGAACCGCTGTTTCGGAATCAAGGACTAGGAGGGGCGCTGAGAATTAACCCTCGCCGGACCTATTGGTTTTCTACATAAGCGCCGGCCGAGGGGGGGGGGGGGGGTACGACCCCCTCTCGCTGTTTCGCCCCTGGTGGAGCTAGCGCGTCGCGGAAAAAAACAAGCATGTGCGCTGTTAAGAGACACAGAGATTGGTACCCGATTTTAAAGGTCCTACGTCAACCGGTGACCTCTGAGGTCAGGTCAAGTGCCCCAAGGTACGGTTTAGTTTTTGGTGAATAACTTCTCAAAAAACGGCCGTAGAGCGCTGATTTTGTCAGTATCGTGTTCGCCTCGCTCAGGCGCGTCGAATGATATACTTTTTGTTTGGGTTAGGTCAACTAAGGGTGTTGACCTCAGGTCACGGTCAGGTCAGCGCCCCCAGGTCACGAAGTTGGTCGAAAGAGGTCATGTTGCATATCATTCGATTCGGCAGGTCTTCCTGAGTCCATTGGGGTGGCTTTCCCGACTCGCTAGCTCAATTTGCTCGGGAGTTATTGACGAAAAACTAATATGACCTTGATGACGTCATAAATGACGTCACGCTAGGTCAACATTGCAAAAGTGACGCATCTAACCTTGCAAGGAGTGCATCAAATCTGTGTGCTTGAGATAGTTGGAGATCGTTCCCGGCGCCCGAATAGCAGTTTTTATTTTTCCCCATTGACTTAGGTATAATGGTGAGGTCACGAAAATGACCTGACCTCATATGACATTTAGGAAAAATCCGAGATATACAAGTTGTGAGACTCGTAATGGATACTAGATCCTGCAAGTTTCATTTCCCTGTGAAAGCTCCTCTGGCAGTGAGGGAGTTGCGAAGTTGCGACATCTGAAGACCGTGCAGAGGTTCACTTATGACGTCATAGGTCAGTGACCTGACCTGACCCGAAAATGCAGTTGGTGTCAAAAGATCCGGCTTGAATCAAAGGTCAGGTATGCCAAGTTTCAGCTCTCTATCGCCAGCTTCTTCGGAGATATCACGAGAAAAAAAACCTATGGGGGCGGCACCCGCCCCCCCCCTCGGCCGGCGAGGGTTAACCTAGGCCACCGAACTCCAGCTAACATAACCAAACAAATACCTTATCAAGTAATGTAACCTTACTCTCATTATTGATATTTCAAAACATTGTATAAAGGCCGCATAGTTTTGGCGAGCTCAATTGATATGAAGTTCAATGTGTTTGCATTAAAAAGTAAAATAAAATAGAGCGAGTTGAAGAAGGCGTAAGCCGAAAGCTCATCGAAAAGTGCCTTTTTCTTACGGTTATTGATACTAATTTTGAGTGTAACGTTACTTTACTTGACAATCTATATGTTTAAGCATGTATCTCAAAACAGCGATAGCCACAATTCATAACTAAATATAGCCTAAGCACACTTGTAGCACTTGTTGTATGTAGGGCGAAGGCATAAGTTGCATGAGAAAAAAATAAAAATGATTTTTTTAAAGACCTTCTTTCAATGAAACACCAAATGATGAGAGAATGAAATAAAGACAAAATCGTGTCTTACAAAAGTTCTATCTGGCTTATTTTGATAATATTAATGACCTGTGGTCATAATCATTAATAAACATTTCGTTCTCTCATCATTTGGTATTTTATAACAAGGAGGTCATTTAAAAATCATTTTTCTCGCATAACTCCCCACGCCCCGTAGGGGGGGGGGGGGGCGAAACGGCCCCCCTGTCCTTTTCCGTCTATATCTCCTAAACGGCTGGAGATATTGCCATAAAACTTTCAGTACCTCTCCGGGCATCAATTTTACACATTAGGACAAAAAAAATTCCAGAGGCTATGATAGGTTGGCCACAAATGACGTCAGAATGACGTCATGTTCTGCCATTTTCGACCGAAAAAAGACCTTCGCGAGAAGAGTTGTCATGCCTACAGCTTTGAAGATACAGAAAAATTTTCAAGACATAAAAGGTGTAGAATTGACAGGGCTACAAAATTGCTATCTCGGATTTTTAACATTTTTGAGTTTTGACCCCCAAGAATCAAAAATGCGATTTTTTGGATATATTAGCCAAAAATCCATTTTTTTCCTTTCGAAAAAAAAACGGAATAAATGTGATAGTACCTAACTTCTTCCATCTACATACCAAATTTCAGATCGATATCTCGTTTTTTGGCCAAGTTATAGCGAAAAAACTATTCAAAAATGATGACGTCAAATTTTCAAACTCAATGTTTGGCAATTCTAGACCACGTAGGGCAAAACAAAGACCACCATTGGACTCCCCGTGACAAGCCGCATCGAATCAATACCCAATTTATGCAAAATATCAACTTTGAAATTTGACCTAATATGACCTGACCTTGACCTGACCCTCACCAAAACGTAACCTAAGCTGACCCCAAAGGCTGCCTGACCCACATAATCGCATTTGTCATGTAAAATGGACCATAAAACATGTATCACACGACACATTCATGTTGTGACCCTCAGGTGACCCCCAATGACCTGACCTCTGTGACCTGACCTGGTATCAGTGACCTCAGCTAGTGAAGTATGTGTTTGACGAACAATGTACCATCGATGGTTTTCAATAACTTACCAATTTACTCGATTTCACAACACATCTCTTGAAATGCCTGTGAACGGTGAAAATCCGACCTTTGACCTGACCTGTGACGTCATCGGTTTGACCTAGGTCAATGAAATTTGGTCACAAGGTAGTTCCCGTGTGGTGCTATCGAACGCCGTTTGAATTTTGAAAATCGGCCGGTAAATTTCCGAGATCTTAGGGGGGGCCGAAACGCCCCCCCCCCCCCCCACGGGTGGTAGGGTCCGCCGGTAGCCCTACGGGGCGCGGGATAGCCTAGCATAACTTATATTTTTGTCAATGCGTGGGCTCCTTGCGAACATTTGCAACAAACAGGTAGGTACTTTAGAGTTTAGGTAGGTCAAAACAAAGTAGATACTTTTGTCCTACGTAGGTACCTGTCACTACCTACCTATATTCGTTGGCGTGTAGACTGTAGATACTTTTGTGAGAAACATGTCCTTTACTGTCACAAGCATAACGATTTTAAAGTCATTCATCACAATGTATAATGTATAAACGTTGTTTTGACACCACATTCATCACAATGTAATGGCCCAAATGTTTTGCGAGACTATTGAAATTTATGCCTTACGAATAGTCCTGCGCATAGAACACCACAAGTACCTACAAATTTGCATTTGCACCACCAAATGCAATGACCATATCGTACATTTATCATGCAAACATTTTCGATGCCAACTTTAGTCTGCAGTCCCCATGCTCCGTCCACTAGAGGCGCTGGGCGCCCGCACTCCATCCACAAGAGGCGCTGGGAGCCGTATTCCGCCCACTAGAGGCGCTGGGAGTTGTATTCCGCCTACTAGAGGCGCTGGGCGCCCGCACTCCATCCACTAGAGGCGCTAGGAGCCGTCCAGTGGTGCGCTGCGGTCGTGGCAGTCACGATCAAGATTCTTTGGTCATGATAGCAACAGCGTCACCCAGTCCCCATCCCATTTGTGATCATATCGGTCAGGCCCTCAACCACACAGCCGCTATTTCATCGCTCGACCTCTCTTCTCATCTATACATCAATTAATGCGCACACGTTTAGAGCTTCATAAGTGTAACTGTCGGTCAGTCACCCTCCGTCCTTTGACCTTCCGTCCTTGCGTCCTTTGACCAAAATGACCTTATCAAGTCATTTTTATGGCGTCCCAATGAAAATGTTTAAAGTGATGAGTTATGTTAACCAGTATTGGTAACTCAGCTTTTACATGACGGATGATTCTTTAAACAATGTAGATATAATTTGAACAGCAGTGCCAGTATCGTTTGTTATCCCGCGCCCTGGTGGGGTCTGTTTATAACGCGACCTGGTGGGGGGGGGGGGGGGCTATTTTTTGCCCCCCCCCCTCGTATCTCCGAAACTACTGGACGGATCCGAAAAATTCAAACGGCGTTCGAAAGGCCTGTCAAATTTGTCGAAGGAAACCAAATTTTATTGACCTCGGGGTCACCGATGACGTCACAGGTCAGGTCAAAGATGAAATGTTTCACCGTTCACGGGTCTTCTAGGGAATGCGCTATAACACCGAGGAAAACGCATTTTGTCGGGAATCAGCGATAGGGCGTCAGTTGCCTAGTAGATATGTTGCTGTTAGAGGTCACTGGTCATACCAGGTCAGGTCACAGGTCAGGTCACCAAAGGTCACCAAGGGTCACCACATGAACCCAACTTTACTAAGGTTATGCGATGCATGTTTTATGGCCAGTTTTTCATTTCCAACTCAATGGTGTTGGTTATAAGACCATCAGGTACGGTTTAGGTCACTTTCTGGTGGAGGTCAGGTCAAGGTCAGGTCAAAAAAGGTCAAATTTCAAAGTTGATATTTTTGCATAAAATGGGTATTGATTCGATGCAGCTCGTCACGGGGAGTCTAATGGTGGTCTTTGTTTTGCGCTACGAGGTCTAGAATTGCTGAAAATCGAGTTTGAAAATTTGACGTCATCAATTTTGAACAGTTTTTTCACTATAACTTGGCCAAAAAAAGAGGTATCGATCTCAAATTTGGTATGTAGATAGAAGGCGGTAAGGACTATCACATATATTCTGGTTTTTTTCGAAATTCAAAAAACTTTTTGGATTTTTTGGCTATTATATTCAAAAAATCTATTTTTTGATTTTTGGGGGTCAAAATCCAAAAATTTCAAAAATCCGAGATAGCAGTTTTGTAGCCCTGTCCATTCTACAGCTTTTATGTCTGTATCATTTTTCTGTAT